CCAAGGACTGTTAGAGGGAGAGGGCCGAGGCGCTATGAACCTATTCCAAAAAACAAAGGAGATTTTCCTGCAGCTCAAAGCAAACGGTCAGCTGTGGAATTTACTTTTATTATTAATCAGGTGCATCATTTCTTTGATGAGCCAAATACGTGATATATATGTTTTTTTCATACTTGTCAGGTCACTTATAAACCAGCAAGAATCACCATCAATTCATAATATGGGGAGACAGTCTTCTCGGGCTGCAAGTGTGAAATCAGAATTTCCACGGAAGAATACTTTTGCTTCGAGCCTCAATTCTGCTTCACCCCCTTTTTACCCCTCTGGGTCTTCGAATCAAGACATAACGTTGAACCAGAAAAGGGACGTACAAACTGGAAGTATCAATAAGGCCGTTGCTTACTCAACACAGATGAGAAATGATTCTAACATATCTCAGTCTAACTCATTGATGCAAGGAAAGATAGCCACTGATATGGTTGGCCATGATAGATTTTATACAGATCCTTCCCTGCTGCCGGCTGCTGGGAAAACTTCAGCTAACCCAAAAGAATTTACTCATTCTGCTAGTTCTAGGGTTCAAGGGAGGGGCTTAAGTAGTGCTGGACCACTAAATAGCCATTCAGGGTCACTCATGGCTGCTCAAATTAAGCCCACTGTAAGACCAGTTCAAGTTCCAACTCAACCTGCAATTCGAAGTTCTACTCAGCAAGTGGTCGAGCCCCTTAGCAATGGAAGGCAAGCATCGCCTCCTCAGCCTCCATCTGTGAATTCATCTGAAGTTGGAGAGGCTGATTCATCTCCAGGTTCAAGCAAATCAAAAATTTCACTGGCTGAAAAAGGAAGGATTAGCAACCAAGGAATTGGAAAGGGCTCTTTTCTGTATGGTGGAGCTCAGGTAATTGGAGCTACCGGAGCTATGGGCCTTGCACATACTGAACAAAACTTTCCTGGTACTCCAGCACTGTTGCCAGGTTTGTAATATTTCCATGTTTGTTTTTGTTTGACGAACTTTCTTGCATGGAATAGCTTTAGTTGTTGAATTTCATATGTTGATGCTTTGACCGTCATGCTATCTCTGTGGACAAGTTTTGTTAAACAGTAATAAGGGGAGATTTATGTTAACATCATATTCATTTCAATGCATTTTTTCTTTACTTAATAGTTATGCAACTTGGGAACCAGCATCCTGGTGGTATTGGGGTTCCTGCTATGGGCATGGCTCTTCCAGGATACGTAGCTCAACCACAACTTGGTTTTGGCAATTCTGAAATGACTTGGTATGAATATTTTGTTATTATCGTCATATTCATGTGGTTTTTACACATCATTTGCTTTGATCCATATTGGAGTTATCAAAGAATCCTAGTAGGCAAAATAGGAAATCTCCTCTTTTGGCATACACTTGGTTTTTCTTAGATTCTAACAAAATGGAAGTTTGATCAGTCTGCATGATTTTTAGGGTGCCAGTGTTAGCAGGTGCTGCTGGGGCTTTAGGGGCATCTTATTGCCCACCATACGTAGCTCTTGATGGCAATTACTATGCCCGTCCTTCAGGACAGACATCTTCTAGGTAAGGCAAGCCATTCTTTTTGCTATTAATATGAGCTGAAAGAACTTTCTGAAGTATGTCCTCTGATTTCCCCTTTTCCAGTTTATTTGTAGCTATGTCGTTTCACTTTCCGAATTTGATTTTGTTGTATGTTCTTTGACCTTGCCTATCTTCACATGAAAAGAGCTCAGAGCTCACATTTTTCTGATCTATTGCTGCCAAAATCACTTGTGCTTTAGATGGACCATGGATGAGGGACTTGTAAAGTAGATGAATAGGAAGAAAAATTTTGGACTTGAATTGAACTTAGAACTTCAGGTAAGGCTGAAGTTTGAACTATGAAGTGGATGTCAATTTTATAAAACAAAGGGACAGCAAAACTGATAGTTATTCTTCTGTAAGATATATGGACTTCACAAGATTGGGGGCATAGTAAACCACATTCTTAGTGGGATCGAGTACATGTCTGAGATATGCTATGCAATAACATGGTGTCTTGTAATTTTTATTTATGTTGGGGTCTAGAATAATAATAACCTTGTTAGACTCGATGAACGATGGTTTGCATCAGGGCTATTATTTGAAAAGCTAATAGGTGTATGAATCTTAATCCTAGGTTCGTCTCTATGACTTGTTAATATCAACTCCCGAGCACTTTGCATATGTGATTCGTGCATCCTGTTGACATCAATGATTAATTTAATAGCTGATATGGGTCATCTATATGAATTGCTTTATAAGTATATTTTAATTTATGTTGTATACCCAGTTCATATGAAATTAGATTTTGGTATGGAAGAAGAAACCTTTTAAACTAATAATCACATGTAATATCCAATTTGGGTGTTATCTTCAACGTACACATATTTTTTTTAGTTGGATATTATCTCGCGATGTCTTTTCAGTTTGTGCACTGAAGGGTTCCACATTTTGTACCCTTTCTTCACAAAAAAATAGCTCATGAAAAGATGAACTTGTAAAGATTTTGATGTTTTAGTTTGCTAGTTACAAGTGTTATTTGTCTAAAGGATAATGGAGTGGAGGTGCTGGGTTATCATTATTCCTGTTTTTTAGGCCCCTTGTCTTATGTTTTATGATTTATTTTGTTGCAAGAGTTGCATGCTTTTATTTGTTGTGAGCCAAGATTCTATATTGCTACTGTGATAATCCATTGTCAATATCTCTGGCAGACCGACCAAGCATCATCACAATATTATTTCTTTCTAATATGAAATAGCAATAGTATTCTGCCTGGACAAAATATGCTTGGTTAAAGCACCAATTTAATCTGACATGGTTGAATAGTTGACCTGGAAATCTATCATGCCATGCAGTGTCTCACTGATTTGTAGCTTTTACTGTGTTACATTGCTTTTTGCTGCATCTATGTTTTGCTTTTCATTTTGGTTTATGTAGTATTCTTAAATACCTCATAAGTCATTTCTTATGCTACAGGGAATCGAGTACAAACAAACCTGGTAGTTCCTTGAAACTCTCACAGAGACCTGGTAAACTACCATTTGGTTCTTCTTTTCTTGTGAATCATTGATCTGAAATTTTCATTGTCATCAAGATCACCTGGGATTTGCTTGTTTTATATTTCTGTAGAGATTGTGAATGAGGAACTCGGAGAACGCCAGAACAAGCCTCGTAGGTAAGCAAAAAAACTCGTCTCTGATTTAACTTTCAAATGCGAGCATTATATAGTGTGTATTGTTTTTGGTTGTCTCCGAAGCATGTTTGCAATATGCCAGTTTTGATATCTTAGCAGATACTCGGAGATGAACTTTGGCCAGTGAAGTGCATAGACAGGGTTGGATGTATTTGAATAACAGCTTTAGGTCAGTGAGACAGATGTCTACCTTAAACTTGCATTAGCCAATTAGCTTCCGTTATTCGTAGTTAACTTTATGTTCATTATGCAGGCATTTTATGATGCCCTCTGTGGTCTTCAGCATCTGATCTGGAACACATTGGGTTGTTTAGAGTCCCAAGATATGCTAGGTACGTGTTGTCTTAGTAATCATCATCGAGAATTAGTATTAACTTCCAATATCAAGTTCTGCTTTCCACTGGGAATTGTAAAATTATCCAGAAGATTAGTATAAAATTGACATGGTTGCCATGTTAGAAGATTTAAGTAGCTGACTAGTTTCTTGGACTCGATGTATCGTTATAATTTTTCGTTATGCTTACCGATGCTTTTCAAAGTCAACTTTCGAAACTTTTCTTTAAATCTTCATCTCCCAATTCTGCATCAACCGACGTTTTTGTTGCTTTTCTAGTTTCTGTTCAAGTGAGCAATCGATGTTCTTGGTTGAAATCTCATTGTCTGCAGTTGTAACTCATGCAGCTGTATAACACTTAAAACACCTGCACTTGTTGTAAATAATATGAGAAGATCATTTTGCAGCGGGGCAGGTGATGTACGCGTGTTTGAACTCTGGTGAGCCTTTCAAGCACACACTTGTGCATGTGGTATGTCGTTGGGTTTCAACTGACTAGGTGGAGTTTCAATATGCAGGTAAAATATTTAGCTGTGGTTGAAGCTTGTTGGAATGATGAGGTAGTGACCTTTTTAAGAGAGGTACTGAGAGGAATTGTTGAATAACCTGCAGTGCAGTGCAGTGGTGTTTGACTAAATTTCAGGATTGTTTGCCACGAGGTGTGTGGCCTGTTGACCAGACCACATTTGTGTTGTTTGAGTTGCCACTCGTTTAACCCAACCGCCTGCTGTTGCATTGGTTGGTTAGTTAATATTGACTGGATTTTAAATGTCATAGCTTCTCTGCCTGTGTTACAAGAATTTGTGGTTTGTGCTTTAGTTTTTATTAGTGTTTCCCTTAGTCATGCCAATGACAGTAAGCTTTGGATTTCTGGGTTTGTCTCTTCCATTGTAGGATTGCTGTGCTGTTGCAATAAAACATCATATAATAATAAATGGTATGACGGACTTCTCACTCTATTTATAAGGCACATTTTACAAAGATAACAAGCAATTATCTTCGAAGTTGTCTTATGTATTAAATCGAGAAGGCTTGGGGCTGAGGCGATTCACTTCATCAGGCCAAAGGTCGATTGAATCATGGGGATGATGCATGTGAGAAGCATGTGTTAAGATCTTGCAAACCGTCCAAGGGTTAAGGTTGTGGACACAATAAAAAGAGGGCTGAATCGGAGAAAGAAAACAGAGCAGCTCGAGAAACCCGACATCCGCATTGGAGGTCCCAAACATCACTTCTTGAAGAGACGAACGATGAACAAAATCCTGTGGTCGTCTTAGGAGTCACTCTTAAGAACTTTATTGGTGGTCAAACAAAAAGACACATTTTTAAGTCTTTTCGTTTTAACACGCACGATAAGATTTTACCGTTGCGCTGATATATCCTTTTTTTTTCAATAGAATAGAAATGGATCCATCTTTAAACATCAGAATATAAACATAGAATTAATGTGAACAGATCAATGGCTGTCGAGTCCCTCTAATATAAGAGAAAGGATATAAAGTGAGCCTTTCATGTTTTTACAAAGACAAACAAAGCAGTCGGGCGACCCTTTTGTAAGCCAAAGTTCAAACCCGAGGCTACTACTAGTATGACACAGGCTTCCTGCCACCAGTTGAACAAGCATCATATAACATCCAAGTGTAGAATTGGATGGATGGTAACATCACAGACGATGGGCACAAAGTGAAGCAAGCAACGGTAGACATGAATGAATGAAGAGGTCCGGGATATCAAAGTTGCGCTGCTTGGGCAACAAGATCCGCATATTCCTCGGACACGAATGATGTCACCTTCAGCTTACCATTGTTACCTGGGGATGAGCGCTTCACCCCAATAACTGTTGCCAGGCCTATCAGGTAATGAAAATTATAAACTTATTAATGATTTCTCCAAGTTGCCACTTTTACAAACTAAAATGAGTTGCTAAAATATTAAATATCATAAGATGGTAAATGAAAGAAACCTAAGGCACATGAACCGAACTCTAGAGCTCGCAACTACACAAGTTGTGTATGTTGGTGAATTAAATGTCTCAGCACCGTACATGTTTTGAGCCATGAGATTTTCTTGAATGATCATAACGGGAAAACATGAATCTGTCGGCATATGTTATGAATATTCCTTTATCCATAATTAAAATGGCATATACATAATCATCTAAAAGTGTACCTATAAGAAATCAAATTAATTAGATGAATACATCAGACTACAGTCTTTACTAACCGTGTAACAAACCGACAAAGACCTGATATATAGGCAGACATAGATTAAAAGACATTTTAATTAAAACACTACAGAAGACAGCATTCGAATTGACTCAATAGCTTTCCATTCCATTTGCTTGAAATTATATGGAACGTATTGGGCATCGTTCCTACCTTTGTAGTCCTACATGAAACGAACTTTTCAGAAGTGCTGTCAACTTTTGGGATCTGGGCTAGCCTAATCTGTACAAGTGGAATAACTTAAAGCCAGAGAAGCTTCATGTTCTAGCACAAAGATCTCAGCTGAGATTTAAACGACAAGAAAGTCTCTTTTCTCACACTAGCAAGAAGGCCACTAGTTCATATACGTCTTTTGAACATCTCTACCCACCTTCTCTTGACTCTTTTCTAACCCACACGTTACTTATGTTGTTCTATTCCCTGAAATGGAAAGAAGTAGGAAAACCCAAACTTTTGGTATGTTTCGGTGCATGCTCTTTCATTGAAATTAAATTTCTCCGTTCTCCAAATCAGATGTTAATGTGTTGACGAAAATGTGATCAAAAGCACATCCCTGCTTTAGCAAGAAAATGTTACAGAAGAGCTTTCTAAACGCAAAACTAAAATATATGCTTACATAGAAAAATGTTGCATATCTAGACATCACAGGCCTAAGACAAAAACTGATGATGTTAGGCTTTCTACTACTCCCAAAGCTGATTTGTGCTTTTAACTAACTCAACAAAAAGCACATAATATCAGGTAACATCTAACCATACACTCAACAAAAAGGTAGAGAAGCATAAACATGTAGAAGTTTCAGAATATTCAATAGTTTTCAATGATATAAGATAATGCAATGAATAAATAGAGATAAAGGGGTACTTACTATCATGAATGCGTCCATATAAAAATCTCTCCCCACGCCAATACTCTAAAGGTCTTGACTTAATTCTTGTGCTTCTCCTTACACCAGAATTCCATATCATACCAGCATCTAAATTTATAGAAAAGAGAGTTCCCAGATATTCTCATTATAAAAGATATCATATTACTGTATATTATTACACTTTAAGAGACTGTAATAACTGAACCTGCAAGGCTTTGCCTTCTTGAAACCAATTTTTGCTTGTCTTTTCTGCTTGGCAAAGCTTTTTGTTTCTTTTCAATGTTTTGGGATAATCCAGAAGTTGTATGACAACTTTGTGCCTAAAAGATTAAGATAGTATCAGATGCACAAAGAGATTACACCCACCAGTTCAAAGTTTCAAACTTCAGTAGTAATCGTACTTAAAATATGAGAGAAAATAAATTATCACAAAGCAAGAATTTTCAATCTCATACCATCAATGGAGTCTAACATGGTAATTCGTTATCAATGGAGACCATAGGTGATCATAGACATTGATGAAATCATCAGTGAAATCAGCATATCATTCATTGAAATGTTAATAAAGCTTTAACTACACCATGAAGAATAATGGGAGGATCAATATTGGTGAAAGGTTAATAAAGCTTTAACTATGCCTTTACCATTGATGTTGACAAGGGGCTACTGTCGATATTGGTGAAAGATAATTTATCGGTAGTCAACCCATATGCCTCAAAAGGTTCACATGATAAATGTGATATTAGTGTGTGACCTACGGGCAGTGTAGACAAGTGGTAGTTCGGGAAGCAAAGGGCAAACATATACTAGTTATCCTCTCCTAGTAATAGGGGTTAGCTTGATGATAAGCTAAAAAAACAAGAATGATCACTAATCATCTATGAATCAAGATAGATTACTTGCAGCATCCCCAAATTGTACATTTAATTACATTTTGATCCTCACACATCGATATGTCTCATTCCAATCCTTCAGCAAGTAAATGTTTCAATCAAGTCATGCCATTACCTTTTGTCAAAAAATAATGATAAAGAATTAAAGTACTATTGAAGCATGACATATCATGATAATTATGTTTACACTATCCATGGTGCCAAGTCCATGGAACAATAGAAGCTTAGTGGCAGGAACGAGGATGCTAAAGCCCAGGATCCTCTTAGAATCATGATTCAACCATTCCTAAGTGAAAATGTGGAAACTGTTTCCTAAGACTCCAAATCACATTCCTAGCCCACAAAGACGATGAGGAAGAGGACGAGGTGGAAGAAGAGAATCATAATTCTTTGATACTAACATTCCATATCGCATTTCTAGCCTGCAAAGATGAGCAGGACAAGAAGAATGGCAGGAGTGAAAAAGCTTACCTGGACTTCAGCCTACAGAGAGTAGGAAGGTTTATGAACATCATTGATTTTGATGTGGAAGGATTGAGGCCTCAATTATGTTAACACAAACAAGACTTAGCAAGTTATTCTCTTGCAAAAATTTGCCATACAAATAAAAAATAAAGAACTTATATCATTGACAACCTATAGTCGGCTATAAAATTTTGTAAACCCCTATTCACTAGCCTACATTCAGATGTAAAAGAAAATTAATGTTTTTCACAAAGAAACCATTAAATTTTCTTCTTATTCTTTTATTGGAAGTTTTAAAAATGTTATCACATTTTATCTAAATGTTCCGTTCGTCATGAGAGAAATAAGGAGTGCATTATACATAATGTGTATCATTAGAGACAAAAAAAAAAGAAGCAATCAATGGTATTAATCTCAAAATTAAATGCACGACATGATCATCTTAAGACTTGTGCTTTTACATAGAGGTCAGAGATATATTGTGTTGCATGGTGCATTTAGGTACACAAAGTAGATACCAAATTCTTCATCATTTACCCAAAATGTCATGGCATGCTATATCATATGCATATTTTGCAAATTAGTTCTACTTACTATACAAAGATGGAGAATTAAGTCATTGATAAATTAAAGCTGAACCTAAAGTATATTACATTCCTTGATTTCACTAGGAGTATTTACTAGTTATTATAATGAAACATAAGGATCCAACAGGTTTGGAAGATTCCAATAAACCATACAGTGACACGTTAAAGAAATGAACATCTAACAAAAGAAAAATGCAATATAAGAAATAGATACAAGAGCCATTACCTCCATATTCCCTCCTGCTAATGTGTGTACATCTTTAGATTGCTCATTCACAGGAAGGACTGTTGTTGAGAGAATTAAATTCTATGTCAAATATTGCAACTAAGACTTTAGGTAATACAAATAGTATAATCATAGTAAATTGCACTTGCACACTGAACATAAAACTGAAATACAAAAAACAAAATATGCATTGCACTGTTGCATATGTTGTAAAACAAAAATATCCATAACATAGAGACTGGCTATATATTTAAGAGTTATATAAGATAAAAAAACAAGGAAATATGAAACCAGAACTTACAACCAAATTAAATAAGAAAATGTCAAATACAGAGTACTTTCAGGTGAGTATTTGAAGAAAATGTCAAATACAGAAACCATCTCAGCTGAGCATAACATACCTCTTGATGCCTCTGCATCAACCACCATTACATCTGGAGCTCCTACCCTTACCTAGAGTTTGCATCAGACAATCAGATTTCAGCATCCCTTTAAAAACTCAATAGTGAAAACCTTTGCATCTACAAGCACTTGCCTGATTTTGCAAATTGTCATCAGCACCACATTTATCAACAATGGTATCATTTTCAGATACAATAAGACATTCAGTTGTACTTTCAAGTTTGTTATCTGATCCATATCTACTAATCTGATTGGACCAACCAAATGTCGGATCATCAACGTCAGGATAAGCTGTAGAGTTGGCAAGCACTGAAATGATCCACAAAAGAAAAAGAAAAAGGAAACATGAGAAGAGAAATATAAACAGGGCAAAAGTAATGTTCCGTCCTTGAACAAAGCACAATTGGCACAAACGAAAGGGTTTAGTCAAAAATGCATTATCTGGATGAAATCCATATTTAAGTATTTGAAGAAAATATCAAACGCAGAAACCATCTCGAGTGAGCATACATACCTCTGGGTGCCTCTGCATCAACCACCAGTACATCTGGTGCTCCAACATTTACCTAGAGTTTGCATCAGACAATCAGATTTCTGCATCCTATTAAAACTTTACTAAAAAAAAATTTTGCATCTACAAGCACTCGCCTGATTTTGCAAATTGTCATCGGCATCACATTTATCGACAATTGTATCACTTTCAGATATAATATGACCTTCAGCTGTACTTTCATGTTTGCTATCTGGTCCATCTCTACTACATTGATTGGAACAACCAGAAGTCGGATCATCAACGTCAGGATAAGCTGTAGAGTGGGGAAGCACTGAAATGATCCACACAAAAAAACAAAACGAAAAAAAGAATCATGAGAAAAGAAACATAAACGGGGCAAAAGTAATGCTCCGTCCTTGAACAAAGCACAATTGGCACAAACGAAAGGGTTTAGTTAAAAATGCATTATCTGGATGAAATCCTTATTTGAGTATTTGAAGAAAATATCAAACACAGAAACCATCTCAGGTGAGCATACATACCTCTGGGTGCCTCCGCATCAACCACCAGTACATCTGGTGCTCCAACATTTACCTAGATTTTGCATCAGACAATCAGATTTCTGCATTCCATTAAAACTTAATAAAAAAAACTTTGAATCTACAAGCACTCGCCTGATTTTGCAAATTGTCATCAGCATCACATTTATCAACAATGGTATCACTTTCAGATATAATATGATCGTCAACTGTACTTTCACGTTTGCTATCTGGTCCATCTCTACCACATTGATTGGAGCAAACAGAAGCTGGATCCTCAACATCATGATCAGGACGTTCATACAATGGATCAAGTTGGACACGATTGCCCTAAAAAAGAACATGCACCAGAAGGTTATAACATGATACTGCAGTACTATGAATATGGCCCAGAACCATAATTACTTACTTCCTCCATTTGCTCATTGAACCCATCAAAATTGATCAGGTCATCAGTCATTAAATGGTCCCTATGTTCTATTGTACTTTCAGGTGAACAATGCACATGTTCTATTACATCTTCCTCTGTTGCAATCTTATCATCAATGGTTTTATCTGCTTTGGCATCTGAAATCTGCAATTTATCAACCAAATTCAATATTCCATCATCCGACCTCACAGAATCTAAAGCATCTCTAACAAGCAAACCATTCCGATTTGGATAACTGATATTAGCAGGAGGTGAAAGAGACTTTTTCTGCCAGCAGCTAGTTGGACAAGAGTCACCGGAATACGGTGCATCATCACTTGGAGGAATCATGTATGGATCTTCTAGTGGTTCATCAACTGAAATACGCCATTGAAAATTTGTAATCGCTGCAAGTGGACTTCGTGCTGGAGTTTGTGAAGTTGAATATGGTGCATCAGCACTCGGAGGGATCATGTATGGATTTCCTTGTTGATCAATAAGTGACATATGCCTTTGCAAGTATGAAGTATCTGCAAGCGGACTTCTTGATAGGGTTGCTGAAGTTGGCAGAAGTTGGTGAGCTTCTGATTTCTCTTTTGCTACTCTATTTTCCAATGTCCTAAAATCGTTTCTCTGGATGGAATGCAACTCAGGAAGATGTATTTTTCCTATCTCAATTGACTTAATCTGCAAGCTCTCCCTCAGAAAAGCTGTCCCTTCACCTTCATCCAAATCTCTGAATGAAAACAACAGCTTTTCCAGAATATTGTTTGCATTGTTCTCATCAGCTACAGAATCTGTTGAAATTATCAAAGATCACTCAGAATCTCTTTCAACAATAGTAATTAAACTAATGTTTGATAGAATTACTGAACCTTCTCGTTCATTAGCTAAAAGGTGTATGTTATTTGTGTCCGTGGAATGTAAATTGCAAGGTTGATCAAATGAAGTAGGATGCAGATTTGCAGTCGGCTTGATTTTAATTGAAGCCTTGTATGGAGTGGCATTTCTCTGATCAAGAACTTCCTGTGATACACTAAATGCTTCAGCAGTATCAACTGTAGCAGAGAAGTGATGCTTATAACTAACCGTCTTCCTGGTACAATGAAAGAAACAGAAATCACCAAAAACACAAAAAAAAATACAACAAAATTTCATCTTAATCAAGGTAAAGCACATGGCAAGCATAGAGGATATAGTATTTTTGTTAATACTATTATATGAATAATCTACTAACCACATTAAACATTAATACCAAGATAAGTGACAATATCAGATCATCAAATGTCATGATTTTTTTGTCAGTTGATCCATACAGTAAATACACACAAGTATTAGGAAATTCATACCTATTACTTATTACAAGTCTATTTATTTAGTCGGTTTATAGCTAGTGCAAGAATACATAACAAGGCCACCAGTACTAATCTATACAACACTTCACTAAGGTGTTAGTAAATGTAATAATGTCAAATTGCATGTACAGTTGTCTTGATATCTTAAAAAAATCAAATGTTCCACAGCCAGCATTAATGCCAGAATAAAACTTCAAAAAAAAACAACTTCAATAAATCCAAAACGGAAGCAACATAAGTCAATCAAATGTATGTGAAAATCCATCGCCAGTTGCAGCTCCACTACACCGTTATGAAACAGTATGGAAAATTATGGTGCATTATGAATGATAATTGATCTCCAAAATGAGTGCATCGCAATGTCGATGTTATTTTGCAACTCATGTCCCCAACAAGGAAAGCGAGGTTTTATAATGAATGCAAATATAAGCATCAATGGAGGTTCTTGTACATTAAAACTTAGCTAATTGTACAATGCAACTATATCGAATCGACTATTGAACAAAGTTAGACATACCCTAGAATTCCAAGACGACGTTTGCGACCAGTGACCTGCTGATTCTTTGCAGGTTCAGTAACAGCCTCACCCCTTAGTTTCTTTAGCTCTTTGCCCGCATCTACGTTTTCACCAAAAAAAAATAAGTGGGTGGAGGATAACTGAGAGATAAAGGTTACACAACAGATCAATTCCAAATAGTAGGCAGAGGATTACTCTCAAGTTGCTCAAAGGCAAAGAAGAACTCCTCCGGATCATCTAAATGATCAATTTGAGAATTAAAGTCAACATCTGGAACAGGGTTGCTGTCAGAGAAAGATTTGCAAAGCCCTTTTTAGCAGTCGCATCAGATAACGATTAAATGTAAATAGTCAGCACGATGTACTATAAAGCAAACAGATGGATCCCAAACAACAATAGTACAGGGCAGGGAAGCAAGAAGCTATAACCGGCAGAGTCTAAAAGAGTGGAATTTAAGAGCGAGCAAACGATTTGAAACAAGATGTTTTACCTTGATATGGGCTTCAAGGAAAATTGAGCACGTTTACGGCCCAACGCGGGCCTTCGCGAAACAAGCCGATTCTTAACATCTGCAGGAATCGTCTTGTTTCCGTCTTGGGATGAATTTACAACGTTTTGACAACTATTGTTGATAGCATGCGCCTGCTCCAGGACCTCCTTGGAGCCAACCTGATCACGAAAAGAGAAGCCTAACAATTAGAACCTCAGGACCAACACGGGAACACACCGACGAAAAAGAAAGGGACAATGCCCAGCCCTCCCGATCAATAATTCAAAAAGGAAAACCCTAAAACCTCGGATCCAAGAAACCCGACGCATAAGGTTGAATTGGAGCGAGCAAGAAATCGAATGTTACCACGGAATCAAGAAGAGCTTTGATGACCTCCGTCTCGTGCGCGTCCAAGGGAGGCGGGTCAGCACGGAGCGCGCCTCCTAGAGTTCGTGGGAGGAGGGAAAGAAGGGAGAAGTCTGCGAAGGGGTCCTCGATCGCGGAGCTGCTCCCAAGGTCAACAGCCATTGATCATGGCGGGAGTCGAGAAGCCCTTCGTCGTCAAATCGGGAGGGGGGAGTGCGAAGGAGGAAAGGAAGAGGGCTGACGATTTCCGATTTCAAATTTGGGGCTTCCGACTGAGCGGGACGGCTCGCACAGGGCAGCGCTTTTGATGTGACATTAATGCGAATGTGGCTTGTGGGCCAAATCGAGTGGAAATTAGCCCGTTTAACACGTCACAATGGACCGGATAGTAAAATCGACCCGCCTGCGTCGATCCAAGCTCACCTGCTTCCATTAGAATCATTGGAACCCGGTCTGATCGGACTCGGTTCAATGGACCATCGGTCGAACCAGTGAGTCGACTCATTAGATCGTATATTTAAATTAAACATATTATAAAATTATATTTACTGCCCGATAATATTTTTAAAAAGGTCAAAGTTAATATAAAACAGTTGAGCAGTCTTAAACAAATCAAAACTAATCTTTTATACGTAAAATAAAATTATTCATCGATATTGTAAACATAAACCTTTTTCCTAATTACTGAACACATCATAGTATTTAAGAATAAATTATTCGATAATAAAAAATAAAATAGTTTATTTATCAATGTTGTCACCACTCGAATATTAAATACGCTTGAATTTCTCTAAGATCAAAAGTATTATTTCTAATCATTGAACTATCACTCGATAGCTGTTATCCCAATAAATTCATTTTACCTTATTCAGTTTTTTTTTATTTTAATACAACAAAGGAATTTTTTTTTACAACAGATAATTAACAGACTTCTAAGACAATTTTTTTTACAATTGACTAATATAGTTGATAAAGATTTTTTATAAATTAATATAAGATGATAGTGTCGATTTTTAATTTTATCATTTATCAACTAATATAGCTGATAATATCATCAACTTTACCGATAAAAGATACATGATAGCACATGCACGAATGTAATGAAAATAATGAGCAAAAAGATAATTTTAATAGTGGTGATAGGTTAATTACAATTATCTCCTGTAGTTAGACTTTTTTACTATCTTGATTTATGGACTTAAATTTATATTAAAATTCATATAATTATAAAAATAAAATATTTAATTCATTTATCATAACGTCTTTTACTAATGGAAGATACAACATGTGATAATACGTAAATGAATAGCACAAAGACGATGGACAATAAAGTAATTTTAATAATTATGACAAATTATGACATCGTGGGTAGTTATTGTGACATTAGTTATTAACAATGACGTGATGGTCGATCATGTTGATATCGATCTGAATATTGACGATAAATATAAAGAGGAGACAATGCGACGAGACATCTGTGTTGATGTTTAAATAAGAAGAGGATGAAAGTAAAAATTAGATAGATAAAACATATGCATCATCGATAACGAGGAAGAAGGAGGAAGGTACGGTAAATATTTTATTTTCATAATTATAAAAATTATATTATAAAAAAATTAAATGTAAAGATCGAGATATTAAAGAGATATAACTATAAGGAATAGTACGTAATTAATCCATCATCATCATTAAACTTTTTTTTTTTTCATCATTTTTGTTTCATTCATACATGTCATGTCACGTATTGTCATATATCTAACTAGTAAGGTAATATGTATGACATCGAAGATAATATATGGTACCAACTGAAGATACGATAACGAAAGCAATGTTGCCTTACTTTCAGTCAAATTTGGTGGTGCTTAGCCGTCACGTTGTAGGAGACTTGTCATCGCTTGCTACTTGCGGACGGTATGTTTGTTGCTGCTTCAAGCTCGAAGCGATCTGTCATTTCATACGCACGTCACCGACCAACGCCAAGCGAATCGGACAGCACCGACTTGACACTTCCATCAGCACGCGCGTACAGACGGATGAGAGGGCGCCGCGGTGGACGCCATCGCGCTTGATGTGCCGTAGCGCCGGTCGAGGACGGCACTGTGGTCGTGTCAGCCCACGAACACATGCGGAGTCAGACTTGAGTCACGTAGACGGTGTGATCGTGCCATGTGATGCATTCAATTCCAGCCACGTTTCCGAAGCGGCTTTCCAAATATGCTCCTCTGTTGCCCTAATTTATATTGGAAAGAACGGGCGCACGTGGAAACTGAGGTGAGCGTTCTGATTCGGGAGATCGTGACCTTTCGATGGTCAGATCGTGTCCGCGTTGATTCCTGGCAGAGGCAGCAATAGAGAGTTCATATCTTAACTCGAGGATTTATTATTCCGCAGGTCCCACGTTTTCTCCAAGCATTTTCGTTAAGACATTCCTTCGGGCACAACATAACAAAGAGTCCACCCCAACCAACAAATACGACGTACCACCAACCCAACAGTTACAATTCCTTGCATTTCACTGTTGGCAGCAGATAAGCAAGTGGAACACCCGCGCCCATCATACCACATCGCTGCCGCTCAATTCCTCTCGTCGTCGTTGTTCAACGGCTAGATTTACTTCGATCGAACGATGTCGTGCTGATTCATTTCGACGGATCAGATTGTCTGATCTGGCCCAGGTGGGAGAATTGCAACCGTCCGTTTTGAACCGTAAAGGAAGAGGATTCGGCGAGAAGCAAAACATCTGGAATTCTTTTATATTTCTTTGTACTGCCGCTTTTGGCTTCTCTTGCTGCTGCTGCTCCGCAGATCCATCCCGGTCATTCGACGAGGGTGGGGGAGATCGAAGGCGGCCCCGATCTCACCAGCCCCTGCTGGAATTCGCCGATTCCTACCGGAACCACGCTTCTGATCGAGCTCTTCTCGCCAGATCTGTGAATTTCTCCGCCTTTCTCCGGGGTTTCCGGGGGTTTGTATTTCGGCCCTTTCCTCCGATTGCTCTCCCTGGCGGAGATCTGGAATTAGAGTCGTCTCGGTTAGCTCGGCGTGTCGGTAGGTGGGATTTGTGTTGTCTGTTGGAGATTCTTGAAACTTAGGGTTTCTGCTTCCCGCTCACGGATTTTGAGTCGCGTCCTCTTGGTTTGATTAGGCTACCGATTTCCCTAATCTGGACAGCTTAGGGCTTCGAGAGGAATTCGTAGTTCCCAACAGCATTCTAATCCAGTTGCTTTATCGCACGAGTTACGTTGATGCCGTCATTTTCGAGTCAGTCAACGGCATCAGCATCCCCAGATGGGGTTTGATTCAGTGCATGCCATTCTTGTTGCGAGACTGACAGCATGAGCTCGATCTGAGGGCCTCCCTAGTTTAGGCATCATGTGGAAGCAATTCCTCAGTAAGTTACCTCGCAAATCTTCCAAATCTGATGCTTCTTCGGGCTCCGCTCACAGCCATCTCAGCAACAATGGGATGGCCTCCGCGAACGGGAACCCAATCCAGCGGACTAGCAGTGGCAATGTGGTTTCCTCCCGGTCGGCCACTGTGAAGCGGACTGCTTCTGCTATCTTTCCGTCCAGTGTCGTCACCAGCATCGAACCTCTCCTGTTGTTCAAAGATGTCCCTAACTCTGAAAAGCATAACCTTTTCATCAGTAAGATGAAGCTCTGCTGTGTTGTCTTCGATTTCTCTGATCCAAACAAGAACTGTGCCGAGAAGGATATGAAACGACAGGCACTATTAGATCTCGTCGATTACGTTGATGCTGGTACTTCTAAGTTTACCGAGCCTATGATTTCTGCTAGCTGTAAGATGTTCGCTATTAACTTGTTTAGAACTTTCCCTCCAAACACACGATCCAGTACTGGTGGTGGGGAGGCTGAAGAGGAAGAGCTGATGTTCGATCCAGCTTGGTCCCATCTGCAACTCGTCTATGATTTGCTTCTAAAGTTCATAGAGTCCTCCTCGCTTGATTCTAAGATAGGAAAGAAGTATGTAGATCATTCATTCATTGCAAGACTGCTTGAACTCTTTGATTCCGAGGACCCCAGAGAAAAGGATTGCTTGAAAACTATCCTGCATAGGATCTACGGAAAATTTATGGTGCATCGTCCTTTCATCAGGAAAGCAGTGAGCAATATATTTTATCGGTTTGTGTTTGAGACAGATCGGCATAATGGGATTGCCGAGTTGTTAGAAGTTTTTGGTAGTGTGATCAGTGGGTTTGCTCTGCCTCTCAAGGAGGAGCACAAAATTTTCTTGTGGAGGGCTTTAATACCGCTGCATAAACCGAAAACATTAGGTGTTTATCTTCAGCAGCTGACTTACTGTATGACACAGTTCATAGAGAAAGAGCCTATGCTGGCAAGCTCAGTGATAAAAGGGTTGTTGAGATATTGGCCAGTGACAAACAGTCAGAAGGAAGTTATGTTTTTGAGCGAGTTGGAGGAGGTCTTGGAGTCTACTAGCCCAGCGGAGCTCCAGAAATGTGTGATTCCATTGTTCCGGAGGATTGGTTTCTGTATCAACAGCTCCCACTTCCAGGTGATCATAACTGTTTCTCTAACTTAAACTGCAATTTGTCATCTAATTGTAAAGTTGTTGAATCTCTAATGGGCATTCTTAGCTTTATATGCGCTTCCAACCTATTATCGATGCTAATAATTATGTTCATATCTTGAAGTTTCCCTCTTTCTATTGCCTTTTCTTTCTAGCTGCTGTTTTCTTTGGCTAAAAAGAAGACATTTCCCTGTTACCTGCATCTGTGTGCATGTTCCACTAATTCCTAATTTGAATGTTGATATGAACTCTCAGAGGTGTCTTGAAAGAGTAGGTTGGTTATCGATGGGGTTCTACAGTCTTGCCAATCATCTACCTTGCTTATTGTGATAAACTCGTGCAAACAACACTCTATCGGGGTTTACCTGTGTTGATAATCTGTTACCTGGAACATGGCATGCATTTTTACTCTGGCAAGACTGAAATGAGAACTTGAGTTTGTATTTGTTGATTACGCAATAAAGTATTCTGAAAAAGTTTAATTAAATATGTCCAATTAATTCGTAGTTGTGATAATTTTAGCATACTTCTAAAACTTATAAGACGGAGTTTCTGGTCGAACACTTGGTTCAACACATAGTCCAGGCACATAGCATATATAAAATGTATGGGCACATACATGTAAGTACTCAAATTTCAGTACTTACATGTATATATATTGTGTGCGAGGAAGATCTATATATACAACCTTGCAAGTTAAGAGGTTGTTTTCATGAAAATAAAGATGTTATTTTTGTGATTCAAGCACTTGACGCATAAGTCACAAACCAGAAATCGTAACGTGGTGCCAAGGGTTGCCATCTGTGTATTTAAATTCCTTTCTCGACCTTACGTATGCTTAGTTACTATTTTCTCTTTCTTTTTCTAAAGAGTTGTGCAACCTAGAGTTGATTCAAATTATTTTTTGTTTGTCATAAAGGTATTCGTATGTTATTTCTTGTTTGTAGCTTTTATCATTGATAGTATGCTCTTCAAGAATCAGCTACTTTTCCGTCCAAGCAGATCTTAGTTGCTGGAATGATAAACCTGTAGTTTCGTCAAGAAGGTTTCTCTAGCGGATTGCACTTGTGACCTACATGAGCACCTGACTCTATTTTTGCAGCAAATGTAGCAAACTGGGGGAAAGTTTTGACAAGCAATCAATAAGGGCAACATAACATCACCCCTCCTTTTTTCCCCCTTCATTGTGATTACCTAGTTTATAAGCAAATGGTGATGCTAGGTAAGTGTAGTCATATTTAATCTTGTGATTAGAAAACAATAAGTAATGCACCATAGTGGCCTTCATTACCATTCGAATGTTGGCTTTGAAATTCATACTGGTTTTTGCAGCTAGCTTGTATTCTTGTTTTCATTTCTCAACACCACTATTTTAATGATGTTTTAAATGAATATCATCAGGTTGCGGAGAGGGCCCTACTCATGTGGAATAATGACCATGTGACAAGTCTGGCGTCACAAAACCAGCAAGCAATCATGCCTTTGATTTTGCCAGCCTTGGAGAGGAACATCAGGAGTCATTGGAACCAAGCTGTTTTGAATTTAACAGAAAATGTCAAAAAAATGCTATCTGAGATGAACGAAGAGCTATTTACGGCTTGCAAAAAGAAGTTCGAGGATGAAGAAGAGAAGCGAGTGGCAATGGAGGAGAAGCGAAGAATGATCTGGGAGTGTCTGGAGACTACTGCCGCGTTCCAGCCAGTGACTAGTAACACAGCCGTCCTGGTAATACCTGCAATTACTCCACCAATTGCTGCTGTTCTTAGTTGAAGTAATACAAATGGTTTAGGAGAAACAATGAGTAGTAGCACCAAACGTATTCAATTAAATTAGCTCCTTTATTGTTGGTGTATTGACGGCAATGCTTGCGAGAGTAATGGCAATCATTTTGTGTACTTCCGCTATTTGCTAGGAGTATGAGCTGATTCTCTTGTAACTTGTTTCTGCTCTTGATGATTTGTAGATGTCTACCCACCGGTATGTCACATATGACCTTAGATTTTATGTACTTATACAACTCGATTAGGAGCATGATCCAATTAGGAGCTGTAAAGATCTCAATGTCCCATGCTTAGTGATTTATAATTTGTGGATCTTCGAGCATTATTTATTGTTGGTGTGGTGCAGAGAAGACCCGTGTAAGGACGGATAATGATCATTGATGGATAGCAAGGTGCCAAGGTCTTGGGATCGAAGTCCTAGGGGATCGAATCCAACACCTCGATCTCAAAAAAGGATGCTGTCTCCATCACCTCTATCAACAATTCTAACATCCTGTAGATCTCCGACGACTGAGGGTGCGACCTGTCTTCTGCATTAAAAGAATGCACCTCGTTCGTGATCTCTATCCAACTCCATCCCGGGACTTTGCTTAGGCCTCTGCTCCTCATCGTCTTCTGAACCGTGGCTCTGTCCGCCCACAGTCCAAGACCGGAGTACATGTGCGACAGAAGGACGTAGGTGGAGTGGTGTTCCGCCTCCGACAGACGCAAGTGCTCGGTCACACGTCTCGCCAACGCCATGTCGCCGTGAATTCTGCATGCACCCAACAGCGTCATCCACACCATCGCGTCGGGCTGGAAGGGCATCGACTCTACCAGCTTCTTCGCTTCGTCGAGGCGGCCCGCTCGACCGAAGAGATCAACCCCACACGCATAATGCTCCATCCTCAATGGAACTCCGAACGCTGGCTGCATCAGCTTCAACAATCGGGACCCTTCTTCCACAAGACCAGTGTGACTGCATGCGGTGATCAATCCCACGAACGTTATGTGGTCAGGCGACACCTCTTGTTCTTGCATCTTAGAGAAGAGATGAAGCGCGGTTCGGCCTCGCCCATGCTGCGCGTACCCAAAGATCATGGAGTTCCACGTCACGGAGCTACCATGGGGCGTTTCGTCGAACGCCTGTCGCGCATCGTCGAGGACGCCGCACTTGGAGTACATGTAGATCAAAGAGCTACCGACGAATTCATTGGCGGCGAAGCCCGACCTCAGGGCTAAACCGTGGATTTGCCGACCCAGTTGAAGGACCGCCAGATCGGAGCAGGATCTTAAGGTGGCAGAGAATGAATAGTGATCGATCTCGACATGCACGGATCGCATGTGAGCAAAGAGCTTCGCTGCTGCCTCGCCCAACCCGTTCTGAGAAAGCCCGGTGAGCATCGAGTTCCAGGACACGGAGTCCTTGAGTTCCATGGACCGGAAGCATCTCCAGGCATCATCCACCGTGCCATCCTCCCCGGGTCTAATGTACATCGCGATGAGCGCGTTGGACACCTGCAGTGCGTCATCGAAGCCCCTCTTGATCGCTACCGCGTGCAACGCCCGGCCATTGCCACTCTGCCCATGCTCAAAGCACGCACTGATCGCACTGGTGAATGTGTATATATCTGGATCGATTCCGAGCTTCTGCATCCTGACAAAGAGCTCGATCGCGTCCGCTGTGAAGCCATGGCAGGCATAAGCCGCAAGCATAGAGTTCCATGTCACCAGATCTTTCACGCGGTCCATCTTGTCGAAGATCTTCCTTGAATCCGCCACCGACCCACACTGCGAGTACGCTGTGATGGCCGCATTATACACGATGGTATCTGCCGTTCTGCCGCACTTCACGATCTTAGCATGCGCTTGGGACATCAGTCCGTAATCCGCAATCCCGTCCAGCAACGTCAAGAGGCTGGCAAAAGTGGCCTCGTCCAGCGTCACGCCCTCTCTCTCCATCCGGCACGAAACATGGAAGGCAGCTTTAGCATCTCCGGCCCGTGCATAACCCGCAACCACTGCGTTCCAGGAGACGACGCTCCGCTCTGGCATGAGCTCCAAGGCCATAACAGCCTCTCGAATCCGACCGCACTTTGCATACATGTCGACCAGCGCGCTACCGGAGAACACGTTGCGGTCGAAGCTCGACTTCACGATCAAAGCATGCACCCGACGGCCGAGGTCGAGCCGGGCGGCGCAGGCGACGGACTTGAGGACGCTTCCAAAGGTGTACTGATCGAAGGGCAGACCCTCGGACAGCATGGTCCTGAACACGGACCACGCCTGCCGGTGCGCCTGAGACAGGACATGGGCAGCGATGAGGGAGTTCCACGAAGCGGTGTCTCGCAGTGGGATTTCATCGAACAACTTGCAGGCTTCGACGAGCCCACCGCTCTTGGAGTAAGAGGCGAGGACTTTATTCCAGGTGCAAGGGTCGAGGGCGTCCCCCGATTTCAGTAACCAGGCGTGGGTCTTGGCTGCGGCGCGCAAGGCGGCGTCGAGGCGCCGAGACGAGTGCATGCCCCAACCGTTCGCAGAAATGCGTGCGACCAAAGCTGCAATGCGACGTGAACCATGACGCTTGCTTATACGCGACCGTGCAATGCGATGCGCGTGCGTGTGATGGATGGCTCTTTACGACATTGCTGCCAAATAACCTGCTTCATAATTGTATGTAAGAATGACTCACAGAGTTGTCTTCATCATCAAACCGCATACATATCCCCAAATTATCTATCTATGATCACAGAAATATTTTGGTGTTTGGCAGGCACGGCCATCTTCATCTCTTTTGAAGTTGAGCATCTTAATGGAGAATGCAAAGAGGAAAGCAAAGAGCAGAGGAAACGCCACCACCATCACAGCGACCACCCCCAAGAAGCTATGCTTGAACCCGAAGTAACTCCTCAAGAAATCCGACACGACCTCGCCGGTGTCCTCGAGTCTCTCCTCTATATCACCGAACTGTGAGGTGACCAATCCATACAAGGTCCAAGCTACAGGACATGCCCAGTAGTACCATCTCCACCATATCGGGATTCTCTACAGAAGGAAGCAGTCGATTAAGTGGATGTCATCGAGTTAGGAAAGCACGTAAACAGAGTCTCCAACTCACAGGTCGTGGGACGATGAATCCGGAGAAGAGATTCCATAGTCCGTAGAAGGCAGCAGAGACGATGGCGGCGATGTTGTGGTTGGGAGTGATCCCCACCGTCATCATTCCGTAGAACGTGAAGTAGAGGAGGGTGAAGTACATGAAGAATATGTACCAGAAGAACTTAACAACAGTCCACTCGAAGGCAATCATGGCGTACACGATCACACCATATAGGATCGATTGGATCAGAACGTACGGTAGCTCGATCACCACCTGTGAATGGAACAACACCGTGTTAGTCGATGCATGCATGTCTACAAGGCTAGTCAATCCGATTCGGGAGAGGATTACTTGTCCAAACGCATACGGCAGAGCTGAGTACATTCCAGCTGCTCTCTCCCTGTAAAAGACCGTTCGTTCGACGGCCACCACCGGTTGAACGGAGGAGCAGTTCTGCACCCCGATGAAGATGACAGCGGCGTACATGGAACCCATAGCATTGAACAGATCTATTTTCTTCGATCTGCAGATTATTTCGATCAGATGTAGCCAAAAGCTCAGGGTTGTTAGGATTTGACGAAGGAGAAGCTTACGTTTTGGAGCCGAGGTCCCAAAATATGGTGCCAAACAGCAGAGCTATGATGGTTGTGAAGAAGAACCTCACGGCGGTATACGGAGGGTTCCTCCAGTATGACAAGTGCTGTTTCCACAGGCACGCCATGCATTGCACGGCCATTGGTTGAGAGTACTGCGTTGGGAAGTAGAGATCACTCGAACCCGGAGGAGGAATGCTCAGTTCCTGGATCAACCTCTTGTTTCTCCTGCATTGCAGAATGTGCACCGATGTAAGACATGGCGGTCTGCTACAAACAGAGAGGAGGAAACAGAGCACTCACTGGTAGAGCTCCGAGTTCTTGTATACTTGGCTGAAGTCGACACCCAGTATGCCTTCTTGCGCCTGTGTCGTCACTTCCAACATCCATGTCGCGGGGTTGTAACCATCCTTTATCTTGCTGACACCATTGATTCCCTGGAGGAAGGAGATCAAGAAAAACACAGTTGACTGTATTATCATCCTGCTGAATCATTACATACGATTCGATCTATTGTCGATCGTCTCACCTCAAAATAATCGATCAGATGGCAAGAATGGCGACCGAGGGGACCTGCGTATATCTCTTCTCCACCTCGCTTCAATAGGAAGAGCTGCAGACAAACCGGCACAAGTCACACCGCGGTGATTACTCTGCACTCGAAACGTGCAATTCAATTACCTCCTCGAGAGATCTCTCACCTCATCGAAAGCTTCGAATATGTCGATGCTGGGTTGGTGAATGGTGCACACCACCGTCCTCCCGGTGTCCACCGTGTTCCTCACGGTCCTCATGACGATGGCCGCAGCCCTTGCGTCGAGCCCAGAGGTGGGTTCATCCATGAATATGATGGATGGGTTGGCGACCAGCTCCACGGCGATGGTCAACCTCTTCCTTTGCTCGGTCGATAGCCCATCGACTCCGGGCAACCCAACCAGCGCATCCCTCAGTGGCGTCAGCTCCACAAGCTCCATGACCTCGTCGACGAACATCTGCAAGAAATGGCATGTAGTCAGTGAGCCTTTGCACGGAAGACAGGTGCGCGCATGGTGTATCTGTGCTCTTGGACGAACCTTCCTTGTTTCAGAATCGACCTCAGGAGGTAGCCGAAGCCAGGCGGAGTAGACGATGGACTCGTAAACCGTGACGTGAGGAGAGTGGATGTCATTCTGCTCGCAGTATCCTGATATGCGAGCAAAGGTCTCCTGCTTCTTAGGGTAGCCGGAGATGTTAATGTTTCCTTCGATGTATCCCCCGGTCTTTCTCCCAGCCAGCACATCCATCAGCGTCGTCTTCCCGGCTCCGCTTACGCCCATCAGCGCCGTGAGCACACCTGGCCTGAAAGATCCACTCACACCCTTGAGGAGCTCCAAGCGGTCTTCCGCCACACCTTGAGCTTTCATTTCCTGCATATGCTCATCACAGTCCGTCAAAAAAGATGTTCCGGGAACATGAACCGCCGAGCAGGAACGAGAATGAGCACCTGAGGCATGTCGACAGAGTATCTTATATCATCGAAGGTGATGGAAAGCGGGGTGAAGGGGAGGACCATTCCCCTTCTGTTCTGATCGAAAGCTGCCTTCATGGAACCCAATGAGCTGTCCTTCCTCCTCATTCCATTCTCGCTACCCGCACGCCGAGATTTAGAGAGCATTGACTTGGCATGTCCACGGGACTTGCTCTTGGATGCAGAGTGATCTATAGATTTCCTTCCTCTGGATGATGACTCTAATCCTTCTCCGGTTAGATTGATGTGTTTTTCCTTCAAAGTCTCCTCAGAAATTGGCGGCTGAGATTTTCCAAAGGCTGCAAATTGAAGATAGCCGAATCAAATCCTGCTCCTGATGCAGTATTGCAGAGATGAGGAACACTACTCACGATCGAGATAGCTGAGAGCCAGAGTGAACAGAGCATTGAACAGAAGTACGTAGCCAACCAAAGCCCCAAAGCCGATCCAATACCATCTTGCTTCCGGGAAGACTCCACGCGACTTCAACACTCGTACGCCCAGCGACTCGTTCGATCCTGGAGCAGTCTGTAGCAGAACTTAGATCGAGTTTTTTTGCATGAATTCAGCAGAAGAAGTGTGCTTACATGCTTCCAGTTGTTGCCCATGAATTCATTCACTGATATCGCGTTCTGTGCGTAGGTCAGTGGCGAGATCCAGTAGCCCCAAATCCACCATTTCTTCACTTGTTCTGCCACAAGCAGCAGCAGATCTCGGTGATGCCGTTTCTAAGCCACATTACATGTTGTAGAGACGGACAGAGAGAGAGAGAGAGAGGAATCATGGCTTACCTCGTGAAAGAATGAAGCCACCCAGCACGAGAAGAATGAGCAGCGAAAGCGACGCAAAGGTGTTTGCAACGATCATGTTCCTACCTAATGCCCCGATGGTTCGGAAGACGGCAGATGCCATCTGAGTTATCCCCAGAAGCAGCAGATATTGCTTGAACAGCCTGATGCGGAGACGATGTAAGGTTGGTTCACTCTGACAACAATGCAAGAGTTCCAGTTCTTACCTTCCGACATTTGGATCGAATCCGATGACATAATAGGTTGTGAAAACCCACACTGCAACTTCAACAAATGCGATGGGAATCTTGAGAATCCATGTCGGTATCGTGTATGACCATGCAGGATAGAAGAGGAGGTCTCTTTGCTTGAAGAAGACAGGAAGCTTCATGATGGTCATGGCGAGTTCAGAGAACCCATTGAACATGACCATGACCACCGAAAAGAACAGTGCCCCCAAATAGATCAACCCATCGGTTTCCGTCTCCCGAGGCATCTTAGTACGCAGGAAGACGGTCATGGAAACGATTGCCATGATGGTAAGCTGTAAACAGAGGATCACAAGGTGGTATGAGACACTGTTCATCGCCATCGATGAAGGTAGAGGTTGCTTACTTGGGTCGCCTTGAAGACGTAGACGAACGAGTTCCTCTTCATCAGCAGCAGTTCTCTGTCGATGTTAGCCTTCAACACTTCCTTCTTGCTAACCCCATATCTTGTGGTCGTCAGAGCAGCAGGATGGCTCTTGGTCTTGTCGAAGGGGACAGAGAGTTCGTCCCCCAAGGCTCGACCGACATGGAAGGACTGGAATGCCTCTGCAAATTCTCTCACAGGCACGTATCTGTAAGGTTCGTCATGCCGAGCCCAGTACTGTTGCTGATCCTTCCTCGATGTCACCTGTGAACCCAACCAAATCAAGGCTCAGTGTCACACCAGAGAGATGGAAGAAAGATTCCAACGGTAGACCTACTTCCTGTAGGAAGTCCGCAACACCCTTCCGCTCGGGGCATCTGAAGCCCATGGATTCGAAGAACTCGAGCACATTGTCACGAGGACCTTGATACACGATGAGGCCATCAGAAAGAAGAATGATGTCGTCGAAAAGGTCGTATGTCTCCGGTGCGGGCTGCAGCAGGGAAATCATCGCAGTTCCACTAAGAATGTGAATGGTTTGCCGGAGCGAGTTCACTATCTGGAAAGTAGTCGAGCTATCCAGACCGGTTGATATCTCGTCCATGAACAGAGCTCTCGCTGGTCCAACAAGCATCTCGCCTGCGTCGACCAAAATTGAAATCAGATGCTCGACAGGATAGATAAGGAGCATCCAATGGTGTACCTGTCGTGACACGCTTCCTCTGACCACCGGAGATTCCTCTCAGCATCTCATCTCCTACCATGGTGTCGGCGCAGACCTCCAGACCGAGGATCTGTCAGAGTGGTTTGAAGTGAATTAGTCTCTTGATCTGACTCGAGTTACGAACATCTTGACACATGATCGTGATGATACCTTCAGGATATACTCCGTGATCACATTGGCTTCTTGCCCTTTCATCGAAGACGCCTGCCAGCAACA